AGATAAGTCTATAGGGAAGAGGATCAAGGTAAGACGGAGGAGTGAGACAGAGATGGAGAGATCAGCGAGTATAGGAGAAGAAAAGGGTAAAAGTACGCTCAAAGTAAAATTTGCTGAGTCAAAGAGACAAAGAACATGTGCTGCTGCTTTGTTATTAGATGTAGAGCCAAAGCACGAAATGCTTAATCCAATAAAAAGCTGAATGGGATGAAACAAAGGGTCCTTGGTATTGCGCCAGTCCCACTGACACTTGATGCACACAAACATACCAACACACACAAACCGAGAAGACCTCCTGGCTGTCCAGAAGTTAACAAATGCTCTGAAATGGCCTGACCATGCTCACTCAGGCACAGCGGCCTACAACTGGCCCACTCTCATCAGCAGCAACTAGTAATTGTGAGAATGAGCAAAGAAACCCCGAACAAAACAAACACTTCTGCCCCATCCTGACTGGCAGTCGTCTCCTTAAATCCACTGAAGACGTTCCACTTGCGAATTCAATTATGGGAGCGATTCATCCTTTTATTATGATGACTGTCAGGTTTTCTTGTGTCATACATAAGGCAGATGGGGGAAAAACAAATGAGTTACCCCTCTCCTTCTCATCTCTCCTCAAGCCGCTTATCTCTATCTGAGTCCTTTCTTTCATTATCGCGTGTCCCTCTCTTTTTCTATTCCTCCCCTGTTCATCGTACTTCCTCTGCCTCGGTCTCTGTTCATCCTCTCTTTATCTGCCTGGGGGTGAGATGCGACACAGCATTCCCTCGTTTTCTGATTTTCTCCCCCACTTGCTCCCACTCTGGCCCTCCCTCTTTTTGCTCGCCTAGCGTATAACCCAGCCACCCACCCTTCCCGCGAGCTCCCTCTAGATAATTAAGATCTTTGATTTTATGGTTTTCTTTCTCATAATAAGCTCTGCAGACACGATGATCAGCCGCCAACAGTCGACTACACACAGACACACACACACACACAGACACAGACAAACTCCAGATACGCACAAATATGCTTCGAGATGAATGCATGCACCAAACCGCTAAATCTGCAGGGATGATGTCCCCTCTCATATTTTCCATTCTTTGTCCGTCTCATCTTTAATTTTCTCTCTCACGTACACACAAACACACACTGCCAGTCAGGCCATTTGTGCAATTCAGTTTTGGTGTGTGCCTCACTGACGCTTGCGTGTAAGGTGACTTAAAGCAGGGTGCAGAATGAAAGCTACCGAGGGGACTTACAAGCTGTTCTCTGTACAGCTCAGACAAGTCTGGCTCCACTCGGCCCTCTCGCAGCTCCAGCTCCCCACAGACTGACACCCGACGGCTACAGGGACTCAGTCATGTTCTACTGCAGCAGCGGGGTTCGCACCGCGGCTAGAAACACAGCCCTCACAAATTGAACATGGCAATAGTGTCTCCCCGTTTGCGCTCTATTTCTTTCTGACTGAATCTGAATTCCCCTATCTCATTCGGACACTTTTTAGATATCTATGATCTCTTCTTCACCTGCTGTGATGGATGAGAAGTGCCCAGGATTTCTAAACTCAAATGACTATTCTAAAAGATATTTACATAATGAAATAAATACTTTCCCAAAAAATAACACAAAACATGTTTTTTTCAATGATTCATTCAGATTCTGTTCTCTCAACTGTGAGCTGTTTCTGGTAGCTTTGTTGGACATAACTGAGCAAATACAACATATGTTTATTAGTTACTCCGCTGTTTTCTAAAAATGAGATTAGTTACAATCAGTTAATATGGCAGAATGTTTAAGAGAGTTTCCAGTCTGCACCCATAATTTAGTCACATTGCATTAGTAAGGCTAGTCTAAAACTCATCTCACATTGATTTGTGGCTCTCTGGCCCCTGCTGTGATCCCTCTACCACTGATTGATTAGAGAAAAAGCTCCCTTGTGGCTAAACAACATGTAATTGCTAATAAAGACAGGAACACGGGCTACTCTCAGAAAATGGAGATAATCACTGTAATGATGGTAACAGAATTTGTTCGGGGAATCACTACCTTCAGAAACTTTCATCTCTATAATCCACTCTGTCACAAAATTAAAACGGACTGATTAGTGCTGCACATGTCCTCTTCTTTCTGTTAAAACAGACATGACCTGTCGAGGAATAGACTCAACGAGGCCTCAGAAGGTGTTAGCAGCCGATCCTTTAAGTCCCGTAGGTCATGAGGTGCGACCCTCATGGATCAGACTTATTTTTTAGCACACTCTACACTGCTTTATCAAACTGACCTTCTGGGAATCTGGAGTCAAAGCTGTTTTCTTCGTGCCACTTCTGTATACTTTGTTGAAAGGAGAGGGCCCGTTATTGTGTCTGCTAAGATGTCAGAGAATACTTTTTGATGTGCATATTCTGTGGCAGTATTTACATATCCATGTGATATCCACATGGATGGCAATCAATGTTGTCACCGTCTGACAGCAGAATTCCTCTTGAATATCTCGTTTGTGCACCGATTCAGAAATATGTCAACATATTGTGTAATCGACATTGTGACCTTTTGCCCTCTCGCTGTAGTTTTGGTAGCAAATCAATCTTTTTTATTCAGCTGATGATAGATTTTAATAAAAACCTTCAGAAACTAAATGAAAGCTAACCGAGATAAATCACAACAGTTTTTGAACACAATTTCAATTTAAATCTGGAATTAAAACACACTGAAGTGAAGTGAGAGTGCTTCAGTTTATACCTGTGTGCAGTCCTTCAGCAAATACACTTTTTCAGCACGGCTTTTTTTGTCTCTATCTCTTTCTGGCTCTGCATCTCTTTCAGCAGACACTTTCCAATCTCTTCTCTCTGTATTCAATTTTGTTCCTTTATTCCCTCGTCGGTGGAAGCCCATTCCCTGTGCTTCTTCTTTTTTCACTTATTCACCTTACTTCTTTTGCAGTTTTCCATCTCTACCTTCCCCTCTTCTCTTGGGAGTAAAGATACTCTAATCCTCTCTGTCTAATGCTGTCAATAGCTCTCAATAACAATGAAATAGCACCGGTTCCATCCCATCACTGATGAAGCCATTGCATCAGTTAGGATCTTATTCGTCATCATGGCAATCTACCTCCTGGTAATAGCCAATCAGACGGCTCCTGCGAAATGTAGTGCTCCCGTGATAGGTTCCCCATTGTTTTGATTGACTGCACCTGAGGGCCCGCCACTTCGGCGGGGCTCGATCAATAACCCATCAAACACACAAGGTAAGGCTCATACATGCCCAAGAATAAACGTCCAGGTGCAGACCCACACACACACTTTGGTGAAGAGAAAATTGAGAAAGAGACCTGTGGTGTTGGTGGCAAATGGAATACTATAGTAACAGCCAGAAAAATGGAGTCCTGGGCAATGCACAATTGTGTGACTGCAGTGTACCTTAGTGACCTAATGGTGCTGTCAAATTAAACTGCTGCTTCTTAACTATTTGACTCGCACACAGGACAAGATGGCAGCGTGGAACTTTTAACTTGTTGCTGCAATGTTCCTTTTTTTTTAAGGCATCTTACATACTTTGTGAGGAATGATTTATAGAAAACAATGAAAGATAAAATGACTCCCACTGTGCGCCTGTTATTCTATGTTGAGTCACACGTACGGATGGCCTCACATAAGCCCAGCCTCTGCTCACCCCGAGCTGTGGAAGCCATAATGAGAGCATCACAGCCATCTGCACAGTATGGTGCACACTATTAGTATTACAAACACGTCGGTGCTCACATTTGACCACTCTTTGAACGAGACACGTTAAGTCAGAAAAGAAGAAAGCATGGTCAGTGACCGCATGGAAGAAAAAAAATCTTAATGAAAGGAGGTCTCATTGATTTATGAAAAGAGAGTAAGTCAAAGCAAATAGTTACAGATGTTTTTGATGTGGCTTCTGTATTAAAGGCAAATAAGAGTTGGAAAGGGCTGATAGGACAAAATACAGATCTGAAATTCAAAACAGTCAGTGATTAAAAACTAAAGATGGTAGATGGAGGGATGCAGGTTCAACAAAGAGACCGACAATCCACGTAGTCTTTGATGTGCACACAGGTGTATACATGAACACAACTTGTGTCTATGGTTACCTTCTCTGGCGGGGGTCGGCTTCATAATGTTGTTTGGAGCTCGTGGGTCAATTGAAGGTCCTGAACTGAATGTTTCAGCTGTCTGTCACACCTGTCTAAAGCTCAGATCTGTGGGCCCGATGTCTCTGCCACCATTTCCTCAACACCAACATCACCCCTGACTGTCTGTCATGCTCTCCTTCCTCTCTCTTTCACTTTATCCATCCCTTCATCTGTCCGTCATTTACCACAACCTTGTCATGTTGTCAGTCAGAGCAAGGATTTGTTGCATCTGGAGACGGCTGCTTTGCACAACTGCAGCACAGTTAAGCTGTGTTTGCGTTCTGTGTCCTGTGACTCTTTGGGCTGGAGGTCAAGTGACAAAAAATGTCAGGGGGTACTGACGAAAGGTTTCCACAATAGGATTATGTGTGTGTAGAAATGTGTAGAAATCTTCTTTGTAACTACATATACGTGTGCCTTGTTCTGCTTTCTACATTTATGAGAGCATCAGTGCGACACAGACGTGTTTGTAGGAATGTGTGGAACTTCTGTGTCAGTTGTGTGGTTTTCTTTGAACAGGCTCTGGAGGTCTCTTGGAGGCTGAATCCCTTCGCTTCAAAACAGCAGACACTCCACAGGAGAGATGAATAGAGTTGTGTGCTGCATTTTAGGATTAGCCAGTCTGCGCCGTCTGTGTGATGTGTCAGGAAACAACTTCATGACCGAGCTGTAGAGTGTACAGTATGTTTTGTTAAAGCGCAGAAGCTGCTTATAACAGTGTGCTGAGGATAGGTTACACAATGATCATTTAAAGAGAGATGGCAAGAGAGAGACTTAGCTTTGACTAACGTGCAGAATGTTCTCTGATCCTGCAGGTGGTGGTACAGGCAGCCAGCAGACCATTCTCCATGAGGAGCAGTAGAAGATGCCGGCTCTGCCAGCACTGCTGCTGTCAATACATTTCCTGTTTTTGTTGCTAATCACCATGCCACCACGCTCCCTCAGCCAGGCCCCTCTACTCTCCTCCGTCCGCATGGGTGAGAGGGCACCTGCCCATCCACGGACTCTTCACCTGGGTCCGACACTACCTTAACAAAACTGTAACATTTTTAGAATGGATTTACATTTACTGACCAAATTGGATAACATGTTATACAAAATGATGTGATGCAGAAATTTAAAAGTGATCATAATATTACTAATGTTACAAAAGAAAGAAATGTTATAAGAAATTATTTTTAGGAATTTTTTTTCTGCAATCACCTCTCCATCGAAACCCAAATCATCTGTACACAAAATGTTCAGAGTCACGTATGGAGCAATCTAAAAAAGGCTGTGCACTCATAGCCCCCATCCAACATGAGCGACCTTGGCGATTTTGAAAAGAATGCGAAAAAATGAAAATCTAAAGGAAAGTGGGCCTAGATACTGAGTAAAAGTTTAAATAGAATTTTGGAGTCTACAGTCAGTTTTTTTTAATGAATGTATTTTTAAAAAAAATCAGTTTTTAGATACTTATTAGGATTATAAATGATAGAAGCTTGAAGGATTTACTTTTTCTATATTGTACAGGTAGTGAAACAGCCACATTTAACCTACTTTTGTGGAAATGTTTGAAGTTGTGAACTATCTCTTGCCTGCAACTTTATACTTATTTCACATAAGGTGGCTTTGATGTTCTTGTACAGCTTAAATGAACATGTTTTTCACATAAACACTTGAAGTCTTTCTCAGCCTGTGGAGGTGATCCTTCCACAGCACAAACTCACATATATGTGAGCATGGGGAACCTTGTTATTCAGCATTAGATTTCTACACCTTGTCATACTTTTTGCTTTCTCTCTACCTTTCTCTCACAACACTCCATCATCCTCTTTTTCTTCCCCCTCTGCCCCTCTAGCTGCAATCTTGGATGACCAGTCTGTGTGTGGGCGCGGGGAGCGGTTGGCGCTGGCTCTGGCCAGGGAGAATATCAACAGTGTTATAGAAGGTCCAGCCCGAGCTCGTGTGGAGGTGGACATATACGAGCTTCAAAAAGACTCCCAGTACGACACAACCGACACCAGTGAGTGGATAGGATACACTTCAAAGACGTCTACTGAAGCGGATTCACACAGCCCATTAGAGGATAATGATATCCACAAAAAACATTAGAGTCCACCAGGGTATAGTGGCTCATTAGCACATAGAAAAACGACCTACAAATATACCACTGGATTTGATTACTAATATTAAACATTGATATAAATTACCGCGAGTGCAGATAAGAAAAACATCTTTAGTCTTGTTGAATAGTGAGGTTTTATTCTAAAGCTTGAGATAAAAAAAAAAAAGATCCAATAACATTTTTCTGAAAAGCTGCCCTTTTATGAGCACAGTCCTAAAATAATGAGTAGAATGATGAAACACCACCACTTTTATGGGATTAAGAGGCAGTAAGGGCTTTTGCTTATTAGTTTACATGTCATTGGAGACCAGTAATCGGTCACTAATTGTCCCACTAAAAACAGTGAGCCACACCCTCCAGATACAGCTGACACTGCATACTGTGTGGGCTATTAAAAATACAAATCATGAAATACCAAAACAGATAAGCAGCAGCACAGTCAAGGAAGCAGAATTAATTCCAGAGAAATATAAATAACATTGATATAAAGAGTTGAGACAGAATGTTTGGTGTCTGCAAAGAGAAAAGAAATAATTGCTAAATTGAACCAGTGGGGAGACAGAAGTTCCCTGCTTCTTTTCTGCTTTTACATGGCTATTTGCAAAACATCTGGTTGAAAAGACTTGTATGCTCATGTGCATGCTTGAGTTGCAGGCATGTGTGTCCTTGGCTCATGAGTAGGAGACTCGGATGGACTGGTTTGCTTACAGCGTTTTTGGTCTCTGCATCTGAATGCTTATGATCTTACGACTACAACAGACTGAGGCACGCGCACACACAATCCCTCACAAAGGTGTTTACATATGCATGCACGCACGCTGCTTTCTGCAGACAGAGAGACACATTCACTAACATTCACAATGGGAGCATGCACACTCATGGGCACAAAGAGGATATACATTCAGAGAAATATTCAAAGGCACTTGCAGATTCTGAGGATGACTAATTGGGATGAATTGAAAATAAAAACCAGAAATACCAACAGAAAAAGAACTTCTTCACAACTAGAATACATAACCAGATTAATGTTGGTTGTCCTCTTGAAACTGTTTTCTGTCTGGTTAGAACTAGTTGTCAACAGTTAGTGTTTTTAATTTTGATTAAATAGTCCATCATTTTTCAAATAACATACTGAAAATAGAAAGAGACACTTTTGCTTTATTGGTTATTTCATCAAACAATATCACTTTTCTCAAATGATTGAATAAATCTTTTCAGAAATCCTCTGCAGGCTGTTCTTTTTTAATTAATCTTGAGCATTTTTAGTCCTGGTATAGTTTAATTCACATCAGTAACTGATTAGAATAATAAAGTACACATACATTTTCTGGCATTTTTGTTCGGTGACATTAAGGTCTGATTTGCTTGTCAGAGGTATGGCAGACTTGTCTGGCTAAAAGCATTGTGCTTTAATTACACTCATCGTCGAGAGAAAAACCAAGCAAGGGAAGTGATCAAAACTATTTTAAAACTTAAAGGTGCAAGTGGAGACAACACCTGTTAAACCCTGTTGCCTGTGCTGTGCTGTTTCACAGATATGCACATTGAGAGAATAATAATAATAATATCTCACAAGAGAGGGTTATTTCGAATGTAAACCACTTGGAAATTCACCGGCTGATTACAACAGCATTTATCAGGAAGTTAATCTGCTAAATGTAATGGGTTACTCCTAGTGTGTGTGAGTCTGATGATGGATTACCCATTGAGTCAATGACAATGAAATATCCATAACAAAAAAGCATTTCTCATGTTTTTCGGAGCAGCTTCCCCCAACAGTTTGGAGAGCTGAGAATTCACACCAGCTGGTTTTCATCATGTCCCTTATTTGATTTTTAGTCTATGAAACAACTAGGTGTCAATTATTATCAAAGCCGCAAAATAATTTGCTGTAGTTTCACAGCTGGGATTACTCTCATCCATGGAGACAGAGGTGTAGTTTTCCTGCTCACTCAGCAGCTGAGCAGTGAGTGCAGCAACAACATGGGTTTTCTTTCCCCACTACATTGCCTTTCAGCATTTCCTGTTTTTTTACTTAATTTGTTTACATTCTTAAAATCTCAGCCTGCATTTGATTTAGCTGATATCTAATCTGAGTTTGCATGTTCTCCCTGAGTATGCCTGGGTTTCCTGCGGGTACTTTGGCTTCCCTCCACCATCCAAAAACGCAAATGTTGGGTTAATTGGCAACAACTCTAAATTGTGTGTGAACGTGTGTGTTTGCATGTCTTGTTCATCTCTGTGTGGCCCTGAGATGGATTGGCAACCTATCCAGCATGTACCTTGCCTCTCGCCTAATGGCAAACGGGATGCCCCAATTTCATACTCTTACATGTAAGCAAACTGGCTTGCGAGAATTAACATGCAATCATTAGTTAAATTGGCTGGAAGAATGTGATACAGTTGCAGACGATAGGAACTATGCAATGTGTGGTGTGTCAATAGGGGGCCTTAAGGGAGTCATGTTAAAGGTTTTTCTTCAGACCTAAGGAAAAAGTCCTGTGGATGATATTATGTAAAAGAGCACCTTGTATTCACACTTTGCTGCTTTGATGAAATGGAAGCAGCCGCAGCATCAATGTGGGTCAGAAGTACCTCCTTTCTGTCCAATTACCACCGACTTTTGTCCATTCAACCCAACAGCAATGATTTATAAATGAGACTACATGTATTAATTCTGTCTGCTCTCTTTTTACATCTTCATTTGAATATTACATCACTGCACCGTATATCCTGTGTGAAACTCTATATTTCTTTGTTAGCGTTCCTTGACTACGCTGTCTAAGGAGGTCTTTGCTGCAGAGTACACACAAGTTTATATTAAGGTTAAGTCAGAAAAAGAATATCAGGCTCAGCTGGGGGCTGTGTGATCTTACAGACGGTCTGTGTCATGCTTGCTCAGACAGTTCCAGAGCATCGCTCATAGTGCACGTCAGGATTAACCCGACAGAAGGAACTAAATTTGATCTGTAAACAAAGATTTTAGGCTTGTCCAATTGTCACGTAAATAACAGACAAAGACAGATTATAACTGGCTCTATTTTCTTCATTTATCAGTCATGCAGCTATTCATCATTTCACAGGCAGGACAGCCAGATTAAATGTCTACATGCTGACAAAAACCCTTTAATTAGTCTCATGTAACTAGTAAAGGGGGAACATCTACTGAGGTTTTGAAGTCTTTGTGAAGAATACATGGATTAATGTCACTTCATGAATAGTTAATGTAACAGAAAAGTATGTAAACCACTCTCTCTGCCACATTAATGTTGTGCTCCACAGAAGGTGATCATTGCATGTGTTAGCCGAATGACACAGATTTTCTGTCAGCGATGCTCAGTGCTGATAACCTATCATAAAAATCTTTAAATATCATAAGTATCCTCATTTGTAACCCTTGGAATATGTCTAACAAGATAAAGATAATGTTTTAATGGAATAGATTGTGCTGCTGCAGTCGAGCAAACTGAGCTTGTACCTTGTCATGCTTTTCACCGGACTGTGGACCCTGCTACTCCTTTTTTTAGTGTTTACAGTTCAACACCACATCTTAAACAAAGCAGTGGATAGTTTTTAACTTTAATATTTGCTTTTTAATCTTTCTTTTCATGCCAGTGTGTCAGATTTTACCCAAAGGCGTAGTTTCTGTGATTGGTCCTGCCTCCAGCCCCGCCTCCGGCTCTACAGTCAGTCATATATGTGGCGAGAAAGAGGTGAGTCACACGTACAAATGTGCAGAAATCTGGGAATTTTTTATTCTTATCCTTAGTAGTTATTCCATGTCTTATTAGTTAATACCTCTTATTCAGAGGCATTCTATAAGATTCTGTCTTCATGCCTGTTGTTTGTTTATCCAGGCCTTTTCTTTACGATCGTTTTCCTCTCCTGTCCATCTTCTTCTCATTGCAGATCCCTCATGTAAAAATTGGTCCAGAGGAAACTCCCCGCTTGCCGTACCTCCGCTTTGCCTCTGTCACCCTGTACCCTAGCAACGAAGACTTGAGTCTGGCCATAGGAGCCATCTTACGCTCATTCAGCTACCCATCAGCCAGCCTGGTCTGTGCCAAAGCTGAGTGTGAGTACACACACTTGTTGTCCTCTTAAACCATATATTATGTGTGGCGTCATGACTGTGTTTGTGTGGGTGTACACGCATTGGTAGAGTTCTTTAATGCTTGTTTACTTTGTTTATTTATATGTTGGCAGTGTTGGCAGATTCCCACTGGGCGGATATGACTGTTTGGCACAGTTGGACACTGGTTTCTGTGGTTCTCTCTGTTGTCTGAGATCAGGACATGGCTCACGTTGCAGCCTTCCTGCTTCTTAATTGTGCTCCTGCACATTGTCTCTTAACCATCTCAAATGATTTATAAGTCCAAAACGGGCTAATAAATATTAAAGTCTAAAATGCTTTCCAGTTGTAAAGGAACTTAAGGGACATTTGATTTAACTTGCCAGGCACTCTGAGTACTTTCACATCACTTGGGATTTGGGGCTTGCTCTCTGGCCGTCTTTATTTTCATTTTGAAAGAGTGCATTATTGATTTATGTTGCAGTCCCCCATTGAGAGTCACAGGAATTAAAGGGGTTGGTTGGATGGAGGCTGTAGTATATAACAGAGCTTTGTGAATACACTGCAGAACATGCTATAAAATGTAAGACGAGGCAAAATTCAGATTTATCCCCAAACTGAAAGCTAGATTTATCCACCTTTGTTTGGAACTGAGTGGGGCTGTGCCATTGCATGGGGTTTGATTCTTCAAGACTGCTACATAAAAGTGTTGCTTACATGAAGAATAACTACTACTGCAGTCTGATCACATTCTGACTCATGAAATACTACGACGTTGAGAAAAATCGTCTCTGTCATTGAGAAGCTTTCATTATCTCCACAGCAGTCACCCTCTTACAGTTTTCTGAAAGTAAGTTGAATTCCTCCCTGACTTGCCATTTTAACATGCTAAAATAACTCTGAAATGGTATCAGACATCTGTTTCAGTTTTGACCATCAGTTGGATGGGAGGATAAGAGCCTTGTCTTTCAGCCTCTTCCAGTGCAGAGAATTAGAGGCAAGTGATGCCCTGACGGTTACCATCTGGGGTGAAAGATGCAGCTTTTACTGGTGGAGAAACTGATGGGTGGGTTTGTGTGTAATATATTTGGCTTGAAGGTGATCTTTACAAGGTTATCGCACTCACAGACTCTGACCCACTTGGCTGCACTATCTATCGCCGTGGAGCTAGTTGCCATGGCTGCCGAATAGGTGCTAACTGCCACTCAACAGGCTTGTTCCACACTCTGAACAACTGTGTGGGTGTGTGAGGCACGGTATGTGTGTGTTTTGATGTGTTTTTTTTTTTTGCACTGAGCTTGCTTCACTTTGTCTGAACATGTGCATGTGCTGAGTGCCTGACTCTGTGTGTGTATGCCTCCCCGGATTGCACTCTGTCTGCACATGGGGGAGTGGACATTGGGGCACTTGACTGGATGTATGTGTGTAGCTCTGCAGAGGTTCAAACGTCAGGCTTTGTTTACCAGCAGCCCCCTTATTTAATTAATCTTGTTTACTTCAGTCTGGAGCGCACAAGTGAAGCACATATTCTGCTACTTTATTGTTATAGTGAATAAAATGTGAGATGATGCGAGGAAATGTGTCAATTTAGCATTTGCTTGTTAATGACATTCATCTGATGCATCCACCCTTAGCTGACTATTCGGCTAACTGTCGAAAGATTTTGTGTTATTTCTAAATGATCCTTCTCTCACTGTGCCTGGGTCAGAGCTCTCTATCTGAGCCTAATTCCATTATGCAGTTTTCATGAGATGGATGAGGGTTAAAGACAGCGAGAGGGAGATACTGAGCAGAAGGAGGAGGAGATGGTGGCAGTGTAAGAGCGAGATGGATAAAGGCAGAGTCAGGTAACTGGAGCACAGGTCTCAAACAAGAGAGATAGAGAAGTTGGAGCTTATGTGTGTGTGTTAGGTGGGGGTGACGACTGTGGAGGGGGCCGTAAAGTGCATTGATTTTTTTCCTTTTCCCCTCCTTCCTCAAACTAATTAAAGTTTTGGCCTGGTTCAGTGATTACCCCTCTGCTTACAGAAGCTATCTTCTCCTAAAGGGCTCTGAGTGCTACCTTTTTCCTCCTCTTCTCATCTCTTTCCTCTTCCCCTTCGTCCCCAAGATGCCTAACCCGCCACTTCTTTACAGCACATAGCTTAGGGTGCTTTACCATGGAATTACAATCAGGAATCAGCAGAGCAGACTTTTTAATAAAGGTTTATTTTTATTCTTGTCAAGCTAGTCTTGATTGCCATTTTTTGTATTTATTTTCAAGAGGAGTTTTATAAAAGTAGGTTAGTTATCTTAAGAGCAGTATTTCAGTCTCTGCTTCTTCTTTAGTATACCTTTTCATACTTGTCGCATATCCAGTTTTGCCATTCAGGCTTAGAGTTTAACACAGATTAATATATTTGAAGTGTATGTGTTGCTCAAACTGAAAACCAGTGGCCGCTCGATGACAGAGTGCATTTCAAAACTCATTCCTCCACCAAGATTGCCCAACCACATAAATATGTGATTCTGTTAATAGCATATGTTATGAAATGTATCATCTTAATTGGATGATAGAATCCATAAACTGTGCATGATACTTAAAACTTGCTTGTAGATTCAAGAGTGTTAAATGATGCTATGTTGCTCTGGCACTATACCTCGTCGTATTATTTACATTTCTTGTGCCATTTGGTGCTACATACAGATATAAAGTACAGTTCAAAAGACGTAAACCCATCACTTTTTTATGTTTTCTTTGGACATTGGTTTCTCTATATAAGCTCTCAGTTTAGGTTTGTACTTGACAGAGGACATACGCTGACCTATATGTATATGAAAAATTCCAGCATTGTAAATGGAACAAAGTTGTGGTCCTATTTCTGTAGTTACATCCACAAAACTATAAAATACACCACGCTTTTAGAGACAAAATACTCTTTTTGCCTCAATAAACTGATTGTAGCGGCTTTTGGCATGGTGCTCTGTTTATCTGGATAGAATAACAGTGAACTGAGCTGAAGTGAGTTAAATTAGGGGGCAGTGTCTAAAGAAAAACTTTGAAAGACCTCCAAAAAGCCTGGAGACCTATTATTCAAGAACACTTAAAAAGATTAGGTCTTCCCCAGAGGTCTGGCTGCAGAGAAGAAAAAAATAGAAAGAAAAAGAAATGGACTTAAGACTATACAATTCTCTATACAACATAAAAAAGCTTTGGCCTGATATTTTGCAGTCTTAATTGGTTGTAAAACACAGACTCGTGACTTTATTTGGTGTCCTTGGCTCCTTTTAGTTAAATGGGGGATAGATTTACATCTACATCCATCGAGGATTTCCTCAGGACATTTAGTTGTTTCCCAATATGATTTTGATCTGGGGGTATAGGAGAGTCTGTGTCTTTTTGCCTTTGGTGTCTCCTTGTCTTGTTTTTTTAACCCTTTCTGGCTTCTTATAATACGATGGGGTCCATTACACTGCAGCCAGCAGGGAATGATGGTGGTACAGAGGTTTGTTTGTTTACTAACCTTATTTCGTAGACTGGCACATGCAAGAGAAGCATCTCCAAGAATTCCAGGACTTAAGATTTTCCAGCTGGATTGTATGCTTAGAAGGATATCTCTCAAATGTGTTATTTGCATTAACTCTCACACTTCAGAGGCTGCATGTACGCAAATTCATTGTTGTATATGTTTATTTAGATTACACAAAACATTGGCCCAGTGATGGTGCTATATGCATCATACAAACACATGAGGCTTGAAAAGGACATATTCTAGAAACTCAATCAGGTCATTTATTTATTTTTTCAAGAGTGTGAATGACATATGGCAGGAGACAACAATTTAATTTCAAACCAATTAAATGTGTTCTAAGAAGAAGGAGCACTGTCAGATCATCGGTTTTCTGCTCCAAATTCTAAGATTTTAAAGATGAATTAAGCTAACTGTGATCCATGCCTTTAATCTAAAATATATCATTTAACAGCTGAGATAAAAAGAGGGGTTCAAAAGACAGATCAGTAAATAACTGGATGAATAAAAAAATAAAAAGATGAACAGTATTCATCGCATAGCATAGACTTAATGATCGGATCGTTTCATTACGCCACTGCTGAGGTGTTGCTGATTAAACCTAATCACATTGATTCCTAGATAAAGGCATATAATGGTATCGTACGACGTCTTAAGTTGGTCGCAAAATAATTTAAAGTGAGTCCCACTGAGGGATATGGCGAGTGGAGATTTACATTTGATGCCACATTAATTACTGTTTTTTTTGTTTATTTTTTGTCCAGGAGATCTGGGCAAAACGTCAGCCCTGCCTTACAAAAATATACAAAAATCATTATATCCAGGGATTTCCATTGGCCCTGCAGAGCTTACATGTTGGAAAATGAGTCATATCTACTGATACAGACATTGATATGTGACTTGGCTCTGCGTCGCCTCTCCCTCAGGCCTGCTGAGATTGGAAGAGCTGGTCCGGCGCTTCCTCATCTCACGAGAGACGCTGTCAGTCAGGATGCTGGATGACAACCTGGACCCTACCCCACTCCTGAAGGAGATCCGCGATGACAAAGTGGCCACCATCATCATTGACGCCAATGCCTCTGTCTCTTATCTCATCCTCAAGAAGGTCAGGTCTCAAATATCCTTTTCAGAACCGCCCACACATGTTTGGATTTAAAGTCGGTCCTGCACACAGAACAAACAGCATGACTCATGGGTATTTGCTTATTTCTGTTATGCCTTTTGTTCAAAATCACCTTTGAGTCATGAAGGAGATGTGTATCCCGTAGCATTGATAAAATAATCAAACTGACTGAAGTGGACGTTGGGCAGGATATGAACATGCATGTGTGTTTTTTTTACCCTCTAGAATAACGTAAGGACAAGTTTTGTGCGTGTCTGCCAGCAACAGTCACTCACACTTGTAAAAGTTTTTGACAAAAGGACATCTTTGTGCAGAAGTGGGTGCAGATGTTATCACGGTTTGCTCTGATTCACTGTGAGGCTGGTGGCCAGCGCTGTGAATCACGGTTTAAATGGGATGCTTTCTGTTGCAGTGGCTGTCCACCCGCAGCAAAAATGTCCTCGCATGAACACAATGATGTAAAACTGTGATTAACATGTGCTCTCCCCCCATATCTCCCCCCTCAGATTCTTTCCTATTTTGTCCCCCGACTGTCTCCTTGCTCCCTGCCTCTCCATTAACTCTCCCTCTTTGCCCTCTTTCTCTTACCATCAATCTTAACTCCGTCCTGTCTTATTCTCTCTTTTTACTCTCCCACCTGCCCCCTCTGTTTTCTCATCTTATTTTTTCTCTTTGTCCTACAGGCATCAGAGCTGGGGATGACATCAGCATTTTATAAGTACATCCTCACCACCATGGTAAGAGCATACCAGTTCTTTCCTTTTCTCTTCTGCTCCCCCATTCTCACTTGTTCCTCCCTCCTGCACTTCCTTCTCTTCTGTCTCAGCGCGAGCAAGCAAAGATGCTTAGGTGGAGAAACTGTTCGATAAGGAGAGGTAGGGAGAGGTGACAGTAAAAAAAGGGAAAGATGAAAGATGGAAAGAGGCAGGGAGAGAACTGAGGAGCAAACATGCTGTTCAAAGATGTGGATGTGCAGAGGAGGATGGCAAAAAAGGAAGAAAATGGGGTCTGAGGTGAAGGTGATGACAGATGTGATGTGTGCTTTTTGCTCTGCCACCCGCCACCTTCTCTATGCTTCCAGGCTTTTCATCTGCCTCCTTGATGCACAATACTTCCATCTACTCCTAGTGTATGAATTAATGTGTCATTTTATGTCTGATTTTCATTTTTCCCTCCTCTTTCTGCCCTTGGTACGTGATGCGTTCTTTTGCCTTAGATGCGCTTGCCTGTGTATCACTTTGAAAAGCTTCTCGAGTCATTTCCATCAACCTCTCTTGTCCCCGTATCGCTGTTTACCTTCTTTCTGTCTGCTGGTGTCCTTTTTTTCTTCACTCTCTAGCAAATATTAGATTTTGTCCCTCCTAGCAGCCTCTCTTATGCTTTATTGCACTCCTCTTTGCACAGTAATTTTCTTCCGTGCCAAGATTTGATACACTGTCAACATTGTCACTCACCTGTATTTCCTGTCTCGCTCCCTCTGCAAATAACCTCCCCTTTCCTCCTCCCCTTCCTCTCCAGGACTTTCCTCTGTTGAAACTGGATGACATTGTCGATGAGCAGTCAAACATCGTGGGTTTCTCCATGTTCAATACAACGCATCCCTTTTATTTGGAGTTCATCCGGAGCCTGAACCTCTCTTGGAGAGAGGGCTGCGATCTGACTTACCCTGGCCCTGCGGTTAGTGATTGAACCAACAAGTACTGATGTGTGCCACTTATCTGGACTGTTTTAAAGCTCTGAAGGAATGCAACATCCCTTTAGGCTCCTTGATTCCTCACACTGATACATGGAGCACTTAAAGAGATTCACCTAGACTTTTGGCCATTTAATAGATATTGATGTATCCATCTCTGTTTCCCTCTTGCTTGTTTATTTATTCTTAACAACATGTTAAGACAACAACTTGTCTCTTTTCTTCTTTTCTCACCCACCCTTTCCTTTCTGTTATCCCTTCAATCACCTGTACTTGTACCTCCCCCTCATTACATCTGCTCTACTGTCTTCTTTTCTGTCTTTCTGTATTTCCATCCATCCTGCCCTTTCTGTCTTTACCCTCCTGCGTGTTGCTGGTCCATCCAATCCTTTCACAGCTCTCCTCGGCACTGATGTTCGATGCAGTGCATGTGGTGGTGGGGGCGGTAAGGGAGCTGAACCGCAGTCAGGAAATTGGTGTGAAGCCACTCAGCTGCACCTCACCTCAGATCTGGCAACATGGGACCAGCCTGATGAATTATCTGCGCATGGTAAATGTTTCAGGATTCTACATGTTTGCCTTAAATGTTGTTGTTTTTATGAATGTGAGCTCATTTACACAAACAAGCAAACAAAAAAGGCAAGCAAAGTTTGAACACCGCCCCCCACCCCCCCCACCCCCAGGCCACGAGCTAATCTGACTACCAAATTAAGTAAAGCATGACCCGATTTCCAGTCAGTTTAGCATTTTTATAAAATAATGAAAAAAAAAGAAAACTGAATCAAAGACAAGGTTAGGGCATCCCACAAGTTAATAATTCTCTAGTTTGACAAGTATAACAGCCTGTAAATACTTTTACAGCAACAGTTTGCTGTAAAATGTTGCTGGTTTGATGAGATGGTCAAACTGAGGGTCTATGTTACCTCTATCCATTGCTAAGTGTTTAGCTATTACCTATTCTGGTAGTGCACTGTGGATTTTTGGAGGGTTAACATTGATTAGACTTGTTATGGAGGTAGTATTGTATTCAAATTTAAGTGCTTCATATACAGTATAGCTTTAAACTCAAGAATTCACTAGTATTTCATTTAAATAATAGATCCTAATGAAGAGATAGCCCGAATGGCAGAGATACAAACCAACATCATGAAGAGGTTTGAGAAGCAGCATTTCAATGAAAACTATTTTTTAAGACACACATTTGTCAAACTTGTGTTTGAACCTTATCAGTTCAGTGGGCTTATTTCCAAAAAAGCATTGGGCTTTTTAATACGTCTCTTTGGAGATGGGAAAACCATGATGACTCCTGTATAATAATCTGTATTAATGATGGTGCTAGGTCCTTTGAAAGTCTTTTACAGTCAAACTGGGGTATTGATATGCCTTTCTTATAACCCCTTGACCGTCGTTCTGAAAATTATTCTTGATTTACTTAATGGTTTCTAATTAGGAGGCAGATTGTGGAAAAACACCCCTGAAGAGTAATCTGTTTACGTGTCTGTTTTGTGGAGAAGGTTCCTGATTGTTAGGATCTTTTATTGTAATACTATGGATTTGTTTGGTTATGTTTCCTACTTGTATGAACATGTATGAATAAATAAAATAAAGAAAGGTAAGTTCATTTTATGCCCACTTTGCCCAAACCTTTGGATGCCATTCCAACAGGTTAATGTTTGTATCAGTAACAAGTCTAACCTTGTTATACTAAGGGCTCCTTGAACAACCTGTATATAATAATAATTATAAATATTGACTAGACTGCATCTTACTTTTGAATGAACCCATTTGAATTGAGAGAGTATCCATTATGGTTTCCCAAAACTTAGTGTGCAGATACTGTGTATGCCTCTAAAGTCTGAGGATTTTGCTCATTTCTTCATGTGCCTAACAGTTGATTAAAACTTTGCGTTGTGTAATTATAATGGTGCAGATAAATCAGTAAAGAGAATGCTCTTTGTTTAAATGATCCTGTGTAAAAAAAAACCCCAGCAGTGATTGGTTTAAGAAGAATGTCCCAATTCCCCAATTTATGAGAACATGGAAAAATGTTAATCTTTCATCCCAGTTGTTAATGATTGATTCATTTTGCATTGCCTTAAAACATGTATATAAATGAAAACACTGTGTTTCATATTAATCACATGTAGCGTGTGACTTCTGTCTTTTGTTATTCTTTGTCATCTCCCATTTCTGGTTGCCCGCTTCTCTCATCGACGACCTGTTGTCAAGGCAGCCCGAGTCTCATCTCTCATTGCTCTCGGCCCATCTGCCCGACATCTGTCTTTGTTAGTCAACATCATGGTGTGCTCCATCTTCAGCTCCCTGCCATTCATCACAGCTCCTGCAAACTGTGCCAGCACCTGGGTTTTGCAGTGGCCGAGCTGAGCTGTGAGGTCTGAGTTTTATTGGAGAGCTGTTGACTCTCTCTGCTGCCCTGTCTGAGCCTTTCGATCAGTCAGCTTCTTCTCGTTGATCCAGAACTGATCATCCTTGTCGAGTCCAGCTTTAGACACTGTCTTTGCCTGTCTCTTACTCTTTTTTCTTTCCTTACTCCTTTTTTTCTTACTCCTTCCTCCTTCCTCAGGACCATTAGTCTTAGCTCTGTATATTGTCGATTAGAAAGATGTTTATTTTCATAAATACTAAAGGTTTCTTTTTGTATCTCTGTCTATTGTAATTTTTTTCACTCCCCGCACTTTCTCATCCTTCTTCTCCTGTGCTATTCCGATGTAATACATCCTCACCTCCCTCTCCATCTGCCTGTCAGGTGGAGTACGATGGCCTAACTGGACGAGTTGAGTTCAACAGCAAAGGTCAGAGAACCAACTACACCCTGCGGATCCTGGAGAAACACAGAGGAGGCCACAAAGAGGTCAGGAGTCTCCTGTTGTCATGTAGCAGCCAGGTTACAACGCCCTTAGGGTTAGGTTAGGTACAGGTCACCCGTATAATTTCACAAAGCTGGAGGAGGCTTTTAACGCTGAGGTTGGCCTCGTCATGGACTCCCCTGATGGTGGCCAGATTTGTGCTCGGTGAAGTTGATATGTGTTACTCGTGACAACCGTTTTGTAACAACTGTCAGCAGATGTGGGTCGTTTGTCAGTTCCAAATATATGTAGACATTTTTTTGACCCACAGGTTACTGGAATTAATTTGCTGCTTGTTTTGCCTTTAATTGCTTTTTACTCTGACTCTTACGCTGACTCTTTGCTTTTCAGCTCCTTCTGCACACGGTTTTGATGTTTTCTAATATCAACTGAAACTGTTTTATTTTACTAAACTTGACATTACTCCTTGCATCTTGCAAACTATCAGCCTCTGATGTATTTATTACACAGTATAACCTTCCTGTCTTAAAAAAGTTATATTTAGCCTTGTTTTTTGCTTTGCCCGACACTTTTCCTGATCTGTGTTGATTTTGGACGTCAAATCCTGGAACAGATTTTTTATAAATCATAAATACTACTCATTTATATCCCGATAAAACAGTGTAATATTTGAGTAAATTCAAAGCTGAATATACAGTAATTTCAGTGGGATTCTTTGTTATCCTTCAATAAACTCTTTAATAAATTCTGTCTTCATTTGCAGATGGCCAGCTGGTGAGGCCAAAATTTTGTTCCCAGCTAATATTAAGCTTATTCTGGCAGCAATTCCTTGCTTTAAAGGAAATTATTTTGTCACTCTGTATGAGATAGTGAAATTAGTATCTAACTATGCCTTGGGACACTTTTGGTGCAAACTGCATAGTAAAATACCAATAGACACGAACTCACATAAACTGCAAAAAATACAAGACTAGGTACACATAATGAAATAAAACCACTGATTCACTCTTTCAGAAAAAATGGTCAATCTGTCTTTTTTGACCACCGAAGAAAAAGTTAAGGTTAGCTAAATCGTTTATGGAGCTTAAACGAAATGCTGGAAGTGTAATACAGTGTGGCCCAATTCAGGAAGCATTAGAAAGAACAGGTGAGAAAATGTAAGTGTTTAAAAGCCACATTTAAGGGAACCAATGAATACTCGCATAGCTGCAGGCCAAGTTCATCGACTGCAGGAACAACTCTCTTTTCAGCTCTCTTCATACAGATTCCAGAGAGCTGGTCTTGGCCAATTGTCTACCATGCTACCACAAAATGCCACCTTCTCACTTAAAACTCAGCTCTAACTCAGTGAAGAGTTTGCTTGTAGTAATTAACATTTTAACTTTACCACCTCTTTGTACAGCAACATCCACACTGTAGGCAGCCGGTGGAGGTTCACAGATAAAAGACTATGCTTAAATGTCAGGGCAGGATAAAGAATGTCATTGAAAAACTGTGAGTGTGTGTGTGTGTGTGAAGCCATTACCTCTCTTATGACCTATTGAAAGATGTACAGTAATATTGTAAGGAAATGCCTCTGTGAGCTGCTGGTCCTCCCTGCACATTGGTTAGGTCATAATCACACACTTATGTACTTAGGGGACTTCACTGTTACCATGAAATGGAAATAAATGTACATTTCAGTTTAAAAAAGCTTTGTATTAAGGATAGAGATTTTGAAATGAAAATGCTGATCATGGCTACTTCTCAGTACCGCCTTTGCCACCTTGTCTCAAGCTTTTTGCTCTGCCAGTAAATAGCAGTTTTATTTTCTTATTTTTTATTATGATGCATAGAGCTTCAAGCACATCTATGGTCCCCTTGGGAACAATCATATCAATATGCATGCACAGTATGTAACAGCATGGATTCCAAAGCCAAAGTTAATATAAACCATGTAAAGGTGTTTCTATTATAGAATAACCATCAGGATTGATGTACTCACCGATGTACTTTGGCGTGTGGCCTGCCACAAAATAAAAACAAGTTACAGTGCAGCTCAACAGTGCATTATTCATCCCACAATGGTCATTGATTTTCTCTTCCTTTGCCCTCTGTGTTAGATCGGTATCTGGTACTCCAACAACACCTTGGCAATGAACTCCACCAGTCTGGATATTAATGTCTCTGAGACGCTGGCAAACAAGACCCTCATTGTCACCACCATTCTGGTAAGGTCAAACTTACTCTGTAAGTGTCCACACTGGTGTGTTCAGCTCACCAGTCTTTTTACGCTGCACAAGCTGTGTCAGATCTCATGCATTTCTGTTTCCAGTAATTTAGCTGTTACTGTAACTGTCATAAACAATGACGGCACTGAGAATGATGTGTTACCAAAATCTCGGCCTTCAGACGATTTCCTTCTGCCCCTCATTTCTATGTGACCATCTTAAAAATGCTCATACTGCTGATCCCTCATCGTTCTGTTTTTGGTTTAGACTGTAAAGTCTTAATCTAAAATATTGGCCCTCATACAGTCCAGATAAAGTCCTCAGGAATCCACAAATGTAATGTATCTTCTTAGATTATAGAAAATCTTTTTGATTTTCGTAGACTTTTTCTGTATGATAATGAGAAAAAAAACATTGAAGCTATAACATATAATGCACTTATAATTTTAGTGTTTTTTCAGCCTCTCTTGTCACTTTACACTGCTTTGTCATAATTTCCATTTGGTTTAATTTCAAGACAATCTATGCCATCGGGCTGTCGGTTGTGGCTGTATTAGTGGAGTACTAGTCTCTCATCCACAGGATTAGCGATTCCATCCCTGGTGAGAGCCTAACTGGGTAACAAATTGGCATTTTTCATCCGATATCTGATGCATTTAATTCCCCCTTAATGCCACTTCAGAGATGAATCAGACAGCCTTGGTGAGAGCACAGTGCCTCATCTCTTGATGTCCAGGTTTATCTACATTGGTTTACTTCAGTGACCAAGGCTTGCTTTCTGGATATATTTTTCTCACTCTCACCTCCATCTACAGCTACTGTCCACTGCCACTTTATGTTTCTTACATCCATTTAGCATCAGGTTTATAACACAAGGATACTCACAAGAGATGTAGAAAAATGGATGGATAGTGAAAAAGAGTTCTGGCTGAGGTCAGAATTATCAGTAAAGCTCCTGAAAAAATGTATGTCTAAATTGCTTTAGTGTAATCATGTGTTGGGATTTCTTAGACTCTAACTAACACCTTTAAAATTGAAATGGATTTTGACATGTGCAGAAACATGATTTCCTCTTTAAGAATATTGCATTCAATTTTGATAGAAAATTAATAAATGCGTGAAAAAGACTTGTATAATGGACTTATAGGAATAGCATGACCTGTCCATTTGCTTTGATTGGACATAATAGATCAAAGCCTTGATACTATTATTTAATGTAGATACATTCAGAATACTGAAGTTAGCTAAAAGATGGCAATCTCCTCATGGTCTGAATATGGTAAAGATGGAGATTTGAGCAGCTGTATTTGGGTCCGATTAGTTCCCTTTTGTTTCAGCTGTTTTATTGTGCTAATTTAATGATCAGCGATCTTTAATAAACAGATGTTAGAACATGAAGTTATTGTCTTCCATAGTTGAAAATATCTGTCTATTTCTATATCGTTTTGAGCCTGCTGTATCTGGATATGTAATGTTTTGAACTGAGCCTCCTCCCTATGTACAGGAGAATCCATATGTGATGCGTAAAGACAATTACCAAGATTTCCAGGGCAACGACCAGTATGAAGGCTTCTGTGTTGACATGTTGAGGGAGCTGGCAGACATCTTAAAATTCTCCTTCAAAATCAAGCTGGTGGATGATGGACTCTATGGGGCCCCAGAGCCCAACGGCTCATGGACTGGCATGGTTGGAGAGCTAATCAACAGGGTAAGTACCCTCAAGAACACACACTAGCATGTACAGTTCTTGCTAGTATCCTACCAAACAAAAACCTATAGTATCTTTGGACAAACACACACATATAGAGGCACACCCCCACCAACCCACACACACTTGTGCTGTAGCCCCAAACCACAACTCTGATGTGACTTCCTATGTCTCAAATTACCCTTGAAGGGGAATAAGACTTGTATCTAGGACAAAAGCTGACTTGATAATTCTTTAAAAGAAAGTCGTAGAATTGCTTGAAATTGCCTGCACCATCTTCCCTCATTCCCTTTCTTCTTACTTGTTGGGCCTTGGTGTGCCAGTGCCAGACTCTCTGGTTGGAGGCTAATGAAAACTCCTCTCTGTTAATTACCATACGATATACTTCAATTACCAGACTGTGGTCCCTGTGTGGGGCCTGCCACACTGGTGCTCCCCCAATTTGCCATGCTTCCTCTCCCTCTATGCCCTCCCCAATGCCCAATCACTCAGCTCTAATTAGTGGCCCATGTTCATCAATTAGGTTTTAATGGAGGAGATGGAGGGGAAGCAGAATGATCTGCAGGTTTTGTACAGGTGAAAAGACCAGCCACCCAGTGCTTACTTTCAATTAGAGTCATTTGGATGGTGGCTGAATATTGTGCGCGTGTGTAAAAGACAGAGCGCACTTCCATACGTATTTCATGGGCAAATTTTTATTGTTCTATCCTGGGAATCAGCATTTTATACATTGTGCACCATCCTTTGACTTTCTATTTTTTAACCTCACCACTTGTCCCTTTTTCTCCCTGACTATCTTTCACTACCTCTATCTCCTCTTCACCCCCTGCTGCTGTCTATCTATCTCTGTCAATCTTCCAGAAAGCAGACCTGGCCGTGGCGGGCTTCACCATAACATCGGAAAGAGAGAAAGTTATTGACTTCTCTAAGCCGTTCATGACCCTGGGGATCAGCATCTTGTACAGAGTTCAACTGGTGAGGGTGTTATCTCGGACTGTAGGGCACCTGCTGAGTGATTCACATCAGATCTTGTACTGGATTTAACACCTTCTTCTCACACTGAGCAACTACCAACTGTTTCATGCAGACAACAAACTGAATTTGTTATAGGATGCAGAGTACGTAGTGCTCAGGAGCTGACTACTTATTTGAAGCAGATGATAATATTTATATAGCATGCTGCTTTCTGTATTCACTGAAGTCCACATTGAAGTCTATAGTTGTAATTTATTTAGCTCAGTTAGTCAGAGCTCTGTAACTGGGTAACAGTGGCCACTTTACATTGCTAATGAGGTTTTGGGTCTCTGCCAAGAACACTTCGTCAGTAGCCTCTGTGAATCAGAGCATTTATGGATTGTAGCATTAGAGTAGCATTTAAGCACTGCAGACATTGAATCAAAGTGCAGGGAAGGACACTGCCCTCCTGTGGCGCAAAGCCACAGCATCCTTTGTAACACCGTAGCTTCTGTTTGTCAACCCGAAACAGTCCATTTTCTTTTATCTTTTTTGATCGGCTTCTTTTTCTCCTTGTAACAGGGTCGGAAACCGGGTTACTTCTCCTTCCTCGATCCCTTCTCGCCGGCTGTCTGGCTTTTCATGTTACTCGCCTACCTGGCAGTCAGCTGTGTGCTCTTCCTGGCAGCAAGGTCAATACATTACATCACACACTGGGCTTATTATTTTCAGCTCTTATCTGAGCTCTATCACCATTTATTTTGTGGAACATGAGTCATCTGTCTTTTATTAGCATATTTTACCCTGTACAGTTTAAAAGGGGCCGTTTGACTGATTGCCCTGAATGACACGACAGAGGTTTTTTGCTGTATTATCGGCTGTGCTGCTGGTTGCTTTACCTTATCTCTGTCTCCTCCCCAGATTAAGCCCTTATGAGTGGTACAATCCACACCCATGCCTGCGAGAGCGTAGAGACATGCTGGAGAACCAGTACACCTTGGGAAACAGCTTGTGGTTCCCTGTTGGAGGCTTTATGCAGCAGGGATCAGAGATAATGCCTCGAGCCTTATCCACCAGATGTGTCAGTGGTGTGTGGTAAGTTACAGAGCAGCAGTGTTGTGTTTGTGGCAGTCTAACCAACACCCCCTCTGCTCAGAGACATGTTTCGCATCCATTTTCTCCTCATTTGGACGTTTGACCTTCTCTTTGTAGAAAGACATTTGTGTTGAGAGGGAGAAGACTGCGCTCACACGTGTCTACCGAGGGGGAAGTCTTTTTCTCTGCACATCTGAAAAATGAGTTTAAGACGTACGGAGCTTGCGGTGTGCCGAGGTCTGAAAGCTAATGAGGGGGACTGAGTCAGTGTGCTTCTCAAAAATCTCAATACTTTATTGATTCTAAGAATTTGAATTGGAACCAACTGAATATCCTTTTTGGATTTTTAATCTTTCAGTCATTTCAGAAACGACTGAAAAGAGTGGCAGGTATCATGTTGATGCTTGGATTCATTTGCATTTTTGCAAAAGAAATAACAATAGTCTCTCACCACCAAGCAGGCTTAAACAAGCAGTAGTGAACGGTTTTGTATCAGCAGTCAGGGGATCACAGACCTTTAGATAGGTGAGACTAAACAAACCTTTCCACAAGTGCACGGCTCAACACAAAACACCCAACTCTTCAGGCAAAGGCTCAGCTTCTAAAGTCAATACAAAGCCATTTTCACTCATAAAGACTCAAGGGTTTCGAGTGTCAGCAGTGTGAGATACAACCACAGATGGTACAGACTGGTGCAGAGTGGTGCCTGGGTGGGTTGCAATGTAAACTATTTAAAGGCAAAAAGGTTGTGTTTTGTTAAGAACACATTTAGATCAACAGTCAATGAGGCCCTCTACCTATTCATATATCATGAAGACTGTTCCTGTTTTTATTAAAATATATCATGAGTTTAGACTCATCTGCAAGATGAACAAGTGGGTGGAAAATAAAACACACGCAGGCAGAAAAGAACACCGAGCATCTACTGCAACCAGCACTCGGTGGATTCTCACGAGGTTGTCAGAGAACTGATAGAGATTGAAATAGGACTGACCAAAACATTTGCAGCCACTGTGGAAAACCTAAAGACTGCAGTGAATGTGTATAACCGGCTGATGCTGAACGAGAACAACTATCTTTCAAAAGGGATCTGTCTGCCACATACAAACCAAATTTAAACCTCGATTCTTAAAGTCTCACATGATGGATTGTAATGCATGTGACTTCAAAAACGTTTGAGAGGCCAATTACTCCTTATGAGTTAATCGAATAGGCACATTGGACTAAAGTTCAAACATCGACAAGAACAAAACAATGCTTTAATTCAAGCATGCTGGATTACCGCGACTTGGATGGCTGAGAATCCACAAGACATATTTTTGTCAAACAGACTGCTTTTGAAGTTGATTGTTTTTTATGTCGCAGAATATCTCTGTAGGCGACCTTTAAACTTTCAGACTGTCACACATGATTTAAAATGATGTTGGATGATGTTGTAATACAACTGACATGTTGCCATAATAAAAACGATTGTATTTGTAATTCCAAGGCCTTCAGAGTGCTGTTTAGAGGGACTAATGGTCATAAATGTGGATGGCAGAAATAGTAACATTCAGTTGTGTATCAATAATGAAGGGGTGCATTAGAATTTATTGACAACATTCAATGTTAGATTGTAGTACTATGTATGATGGTTAGTTAAGTTTCTTGACTTTTACACATAATGAACAAATATTATACTCTCAAAAACACTATTGTGAATAGAATAAAAGAAAAATAATAAATAAGTGGCTGTGAAAGACATACACTGAAAAAAAACAATGACAGAGGGCAGAAACAGAAACTAGCACAGAGTTTAGTGAGACAGGAAAATTAATAAGAGTAAGTATATTATTTTCTTTTTAAATTGAGTTTGTAGACAAGCAGGGATATTAAAAGAGGCTTCAAGGTCATAGGTTTGAAGCGCTTCAGATATTGCTGGACTGATGTGTCCTACACTCATCAGGAATGATTCATGGCCTTAATGATTATCTATGATTTTTAATGTAAGACATGTCCTAATTTGATTGGTCCCTCAACTAAACCAGCTTGAAACAAAGGTGTCTTGGTCATTTTTTTGGTAGTCAGTTTATTTTAAATGTCAAGACAGATCTTCCCAGCATCATATGATCTCTCCCATTTGTCTTCCCCTTGTTGTTCCCTCATAGGTGGGCATTCACTCTGATCATCATCTCCTCCTACACGGCCAACCTGGCAGCCTTCTTAACTGTTCAGAGGATGGAGGTTCCCATTGAGTCCCCAGACGATTTGGCCGACCAAACCAACATAGAGTATGGCACCATCCATGGAGGGAGCACCATGACTTTCTTCATGGTATGACCTATCTTGGAAGCTTTTCTTTATATTTAGTTCATTTTCAGGACATCACATCAACGACATCATGTTGGGTTTTCGGTGTGTTTACAGCTAGATTTACAGATTCCCTGTTTTGGTGTGACAGCCCTTTGCAAAGTTTCTGTGTGTGTGTGCACATGAATTCTGGCCGTTCAACGGACTGAATGTTTGTCCTCATATTTACCACCGTGTCTCTGATCGTCTTTATGGCTGGTTGTGTGAAGTGGCTGACTGCCGGCATTTGCTTTGTGAGATCGCTTCTGGCATCTGGGCCAACATCTGTGTTTGTCATCGTGTGTTTTGTCTGTGTGTGTTAGTGTGTGTGCCAGTGAGTGTGTGTAGGTGAGTGTAAAAAAATAAAGCAAACTTGTTTATTCATCTGCAATGGCTACATGCCAGTCTATGTGTGCTTTTCATTCTCAAATGTTTGTTCGTATTGAGGATAAAAGAAAGAGTCTGTTTCTCTACATAAGCCGGTTTTATTGCAACAGTACATTGCCCCACTCAGACCCTAATCCACACAAACATACAAACACACTCCGATGCCTGCCTCTTTACTCTCTTTTCTATTATGAAATGTACAGATACATCTAGCTGTACACTCACAACACTCATGTGAATAAAAGATAAACAATCCATTGCCTCATTTCGACTGTTCCAACCATTTCCTTTTTGCTCTTGAGATTTTACATTTTTAGTTATTCTTCATAGTAGATTTTCTATACAATTCATACTTTCCTTCTGCCCTTATTTGGAGTACAAATCTGTTGCTTTATATATTTCCTCTTTCTTTTTTCATTCTCATTTAGAAACTTTAAAACAGATGTAATACTTTTAGGGAACTCAAACAAACACTTCTTGTCACCGCTGAATTTCCACCGTCTTTTTGCAGAACTCACGGTACCAGACATACCAGCGGATGTGGAACTACATGTACTCAAAGCAGCCCAGTGTATTTGTGAAAAGCACAGAGGAGGGCATAGCCCGTGTAGTCAACTCCAAGTATGCCTTCTTGATGGAGAGCACCATGAACGAGTACCATCGTGGGCTCAACTGTAATCTCACACAGATAGGAGGTCTGCTGGACACCAAAGGCTACGGCATTGGCATGCCACTGGGTAATCACACTTTCTAAACAAACAAGTGAACACAATAGAAAACCTTCACAACATTACTTATTACAAGTGTTAATGGAATAATTGCAAGGTAATGAGCTCAGATTCTGCCAATTCACAACTGTGCTTTTTTGTTTTCTTGATATAATAAAGAAAATTTATATGCTTTACAGAGATCGTTCATTGTATCCCGGATATGGGAAATGTAAAATTCCTCTGGTCTTGCTTTTTTCATTGCTATTACGGTACTATTGTCTTTGTTCTGAAGGAAATTATCATCGGATTTTGCAAAGTCCGATGATAAATGCATGATTAAATGCATGCTACATTACTAAATCAGTCAAATAAATGGAGACTTCATGGCAAAGTAAATCAATCAAGTGCATAAATGAAAAGCGTAGATATCAATATACATCTCATTTTTTGTATTAATTTTTGCTTCAATTACTTATGATTTTATTTGGGATTTATTTATTATATTATTCATTATGTTTTCTTGTTTTTACTTCAGACTATAGCAGTTTCAGTCCACCATACAATCTACAATAATTTGTTAAAAACTGGTTGAATGTGAGGCAGCCCCCTTTATTTATTTGAGGCATGTAAGTACAGCTACTAGGACAGGCATCACTGCATACTGTCTGTTTTTCGCTTCGGTTTTCCTAAGTTTTTCAGGCAGTTTACTCAGGTTATCTGCTGCAGAGAAATATAGGTTATAAGTGAACTCCTGTGCAAAAATAATATCCCTATAGCAACCCAAAGTCAATAAAGCCAACTAAAAGGCACATTTTAAAATGCAAATAAAACAAATATTCATTTTACCTCTTTTCTTGTAACATTTGTAAAGAAAAATAACACTTCAGTGAATGATAACTTTGCTTGTAGAAAAAGTGAGATAATTTGATTTATTTGCATAATTGTTCAGATAATTGACTTACATTTTATATCTGTTTTGCCCTTGGAACTTAAACTTTTTGTAATCTTTTGTCTAAAGGTCAACCATCCTCTTAGAAGATGAATTTCTTTCCTCCTGAAAAAGTGTTGGACACAATCATTAATCTAGGAGCTATTTACAGTTGAGTGTAATGTAGGTCACCTATAGCCCCAGTGAACTCTTTGAGGTACCAAATGAGTATAAAATATATAGAAACAGTAAACAGTTATAGCAAAAATTTGGTCTGAAGAAGTGATACTGTGTAAGTGAGCAAGTCCCACAGAGGGCGGAGTGCCCAAACATGACTGACTGGGAGCTATCTCAGATCTAAAACTGTACACCTTATGAACAAAAGGAACAAAAAGGATTAAACGTCATTGACAGTAGGAAATGCAGGGACACAGAGACAAGATCAATATGTAAAACAGCCATATGTACATGAGGTTGATTTGGGAGATTAGATCTCAAAAGGGATTGTGTCTGTCTATTTTTCTATCCGAAGGGATTATTCAGCATTTGAACTTGCAGTTAATTGCTTTTCTGCACACACTCTATTTTAATTTTACACATAGAGGACATGTCATGGAATCGCATACCTCCTCTATTCCAAAGGTCTGGAATAGCCTGACCTTCTGCTATGGACAAAAGGTCAGTGGAAGCATAGGAAAATGAAGCAGTCACAGAGATGAAGGAGAGATGGATCACAGAGCTCAAAAAACAAAAGACAAAGACAGACAAAAAGATGTGTTAACATGGAGGAAAAAACAACATGATTTGATGGTTTAAAAAGTGCAAATTACTGATATATTTGGGTAAATATGTTTAACTGTGTGATTGGAAGTTAACTGTTTGAAACCAACTCAGCCATTAGAAGTCTTCCCTTGACAAAAACAGAATATTGTGAATTAAATCAACCATGATGCTCTGCTAAAGGTAAATACAATTTTTTTTATAGTTGAAGATCTCTCTGACTTTCCCAATATGACAGGCCTTCAGGAAATGGTTCAATGGGAAATCAAAGTAACTCAAATCACTCACAAAATTAATCAGCATTTTGTTTGAATTTTCAAGTCATATTTGATCAAATATTTAACCAGGTAACCAAGCTGACTCCTATTATAGGAAGATCATTAAATGATTCCGGTGTTCTGCTAAATAAATATTCAAGTGCTTTCAATCTGGATCATAAAACACTTTGATTTCTGTTGGAGCAGCAGCTGTCTCTGGTTGTAATCTTGCCGTTTATCTCACTAATCCTCTCTTCCTAGCCTCCACAACATCACTTTTATCCACTGCAAAGCTGCAGCGTAATTTCTTTCTCTTTTACTCCGCAGCCTGCTCTTTTACACCCCCACATTTAATGTTTCCCCCTCTTCTAAAACAGCCTTTCCCTTTGGCTGCACCTTGTCCAACACTGGCACTTATCTTCCTTTTGCTGTCATCTGCCAGGATCTCCGTTCAGAGATGAGATCACACTGGCCATCCTCCAGCTGCAGGAGAATAACAGGCTGGAGATACTGAAGAGGAGGTGGTGGGAGGGGGGGCAATGTCCCCGAGAGGAGGACCACCGTGCCAAGGGTGAGTTGACCGCAGCTGCCTGTCTCTTCTCCCTCCTCCTCTCCAATGTCCTCAGTAATAGTCTCCTCACTCTCTGCTACACTGCAGCTAATGGCTAATGCCTAACCTAATGTCCCTATGAGGGGCGCTTAGCACAGTCTGCCTTCCCAAATGCATTCTGTTTGTCTCAGGTGATGTGAAATGTGAGTTTTATGAGAGAGTTTGCGCATGTGTGTGTTGTCTACAAAACTGGAGACATTACAGCCTTCACTAACAGTGAGTTCAGCTATTTAGCATACTGTAGTGTAACGCTTGCATAATGATGCTCAGTGTTTATTGAGAGAAATACATTCATAAATCTTCATTTTCAGTGTCAATTGTGAGTCAAACTAAAAAAATGAATCTCATCCCACACATTACTTAAAACAAGTCAGTGCCATTTCCCCCCCTCTCCCGATTTTCTGTTATGATGTGGCAAAATTATGAAAAAGTGAAAGATTATCAAAGTGGTGTCACGTGTTATTTAAAGCAGGACACAGATACTTGTTTTCATCAGAGCATTTAGAGATACCACTTTTGTCATGTTTTAAATAGACAGCACGACAGAAGCCTGTTCGTTTAAGCGTTTGGAAACTGGGGTTTATAATCTGGATGCAATGATACACTATTATCACACCCTGATTAAAACACACGAGAGCAGGGGTGTCTGTGGTAGAAATGTTATCTTCGGTTAATAAAGGACACCATGTGATGGATTGGTGACCTGTCCCCACCTCTCAGCCAATGACAGCTGCTGTAGACTAGAGCCCCCCTTGACCTTGAATTGGAATAGGTGGAAATTGGAAATGGAATGATGGATAAGTGTGCATCATTATATGGACCTCTTCCATCCTTTAACTCTGGCAAAAAACAGCTATTTTGGAAAATGTGGATGTGTGAACACAAGCCTGTCTGAGACCCTTTCAAGAATCCTCTTGCTCTCAAAGATGATCAAAGTCGGCACCTCTCTTTTGGTTGTCTGCCACGTTGGGCAGAATGGACTTTCCGTCTGATCTCATGAAGACTCACATGATGAGAGTAACCAGCTGTTTTTGCTCTGCTCTGGTGATTATTAAAGTCATTTGACTGACTGGTGTCATCTTTGAAATTTATAGAATGTTAAGACATTCCCAGAGATAAAACTACTTCCTGGAAAGATGCATTTCTCAAGCATTTTGTGGATTTCCAACACAGATGTTGTTGTTCTTGAAATTAGTTGAATATACAGTAACTGCCTCAACTTAAAAAACAGGCTCTAGCAACGTAGCTGGATCCAACTCAGTGCATGGAAACGTGTCTAAAGCTTCTTTTTTGTCTTGGTGGCTTTTTTTAAAGGACTTTAAAATGAGCTGCCCCAGTGAATGGAAGCTAAGCTTTTGACACAAAACTGTCGTGAGTGTTGATGTGCTTGTGCCATTTGTTTCCTGTGGTTCACCCTCAGGTCTGGGCATGGAGAACATTGGGGGCATCTTCGTGGTGCTGATCTGCGGCCTCATCATCGCTGTGTTCGTGGCCATTATGGAGTTTGTGTGGTCAACACGCCGCTCGGCAGAGACTGATGAGGTATGCCCCCATACCTGCCCTCGCCGACCCCACAGACAAACCCCAGTAGGTTTCCATGGCATCCCGCCAATCCTTTTGATTCTGTTGTTTCGTGGGTGTATTCTGTGCGTTAGAGTGGGCAAATCTCCATTTCAGTTTCTATTTCCATTCGTGTGTTTGTGTTTGCTCTGATATTTGAGGTCTTTTGTGTCCTTTGCATGGGTGATGAGAGGAATGTGACTTTGAAATGTCGTGGTGTCAAAAAATAATACGAGGAATAGCAGATTTGATTGCATGCTGTGCCTGTTTTGATGTCATTGTGCCCTTTAAGTGTTCGGTGTTTAACAGTACTGCAGCAAGTGTTTGTGAGCTAAACATGGTAGATCGGATAAGCAATATTGAGAAATGCCAATATTTGCTTGCATAAAGAAGCAGTGTGATCTTTTTCCCTGGCATTAAATGTCATGATGTATCTTCTTTTACATGCCTCACATGTACGCTGGTACTCTTCGTTCCCATTTTTGGATTACTTCTCACCCATCTCGCTGTGTGTCTCCCTCTATCTTTCGTACACACACCCTCTGTCATTTGTCCATCAGTGTCTGTTCTCCAATAACGAGTACTGTTTCTGTTTATGTGAGCACATGACTTTTGATCATGATTTTGATGAGAGTGTTCGTCTGTAGTGGACGCATTGATGCATTTTGTTTGTCATGTGTTCAAATAACAGTAGTCATGCCGTTGGGATTATGAAAGAGATTTGTGGATGTGATGGTGTGTCCGGGAGGCTTTTGTATTCTGACTGTGCACATGTGTTTGCAGGCCTGCCTGTTTGTTCATAGTGCCATGATTAAGTGCCCATAAACTAAACAACATTTTGGTGTTCAGTGTGTTTAGATTGTAATAACTCTCTCTACTCCCTGGATATTCTCCCATCTCTATTCATTTCCACCTCCTTCCCAACATTTGGTCATTTCTGTTCTTTAAACACCTCTCCGTTTGTTGATCTGTGCCCTTGCTTCTCCTGCATCTTTTTTCGTTCATCATGCCCATGGTGTCTGTACTTCCTCCCACGGCGCCGCCTCCTTTTATTTTATTTTTTCCTAAATTTTATTACTCTCCCTCCGCTCTGTTTTTGTACTGCCTTACCACTGTCTTGTTGTGCTGCCTGCCTACTTTGTGTGTGTGGCACCTCCCCTACCTTTGCCTCCTACCCTTTTCCTTTTTCCTTCTTTCCTCCCTCCTTCCTTTTCTCCTCCAGGTGTCTGTCTGTCAAGAGATGATCACAGAGTTTCGAAACGCCGTCTCCTGTAAAAAGAGCTCCCGCATGCGGCGGCGGCGGCCCCTCAGCAGCTCAGCAGCCTTGCGCCACCCCACTCGCATCGCTCTCGGGGCCCCTCGGCCCTTGCGGCTGGTCCGGGAGATGCGCCTCAGCAACGGCAAGCTGTACAGTGGAGCTGGTCCTCTGACAGGTGGAGCGGGAGGTGCAGGGGCGCCCGATCTCGGACCCGGGCCTCAACGAATCTTGGACGATCCACTGGGAGCCAACACAACACCACCCCCACCGGCCGCCACCCCCGTGATGCTGCCTGCTCGTGGCTGCACCCACGTGAGGATCTGTCAGGAGTGCAGAAGAATCCAGAGCCTGAGATCAGGCAGCAGTACAGGGTCGTCCTCATCCAGAATACCCCCTTCCTCTGCCCCTCTGCCCCGGCTACCTCCACCCCCACCCCAGTCCTCTTCCAATACAGACAGTGAGGGCGGAGGGGGACCTAGCCCAAGGAGACTACATCACAGTCCTCCGCCGCATACCCCTCGACCCATTCCACCTCCACAAAACAGCAACAACACAGACCTACTGGGGGACCAGGACTGAGTGCAGGCAGCTGAATGGAGGGTGGACGGGCTGCAATGGGGGCAGTGATGCTGCATTTGGACACTCATGCTGCCCAAAGAAACACTATGTCTACATGTGAAATATGAAAAGGAGAGATTTAACTCCGGAAGATGGAAAGATGAGTTTAAAGAGATGAATGAATGGGACAGCTGAGACATTTATCCATTAGAGCCCGAGGCCTGCAGATCCAGAGCTGACTGAAAAGCAGTTCAGTTTGGACAAATCTGCATATGGCCGAAGGTTGGCCTGCTCTTGCCTCCGTCTCACCTCACTGGAGGGTGTTGGTTCACTTCCACAGACAATTGTCTGGAAGCCAACTAGCTCTTCGGTGAAATGAATCATTGCTGAGGGATTGAAAACAGAAACTAAATGACTTGCAGAAAATGAATTCCTGTTGTTTAGTTTTTTTTCTTTTGTTGTATTTGTTTTGTTACCATTGTTCTAAGTGGGAATAAATACAGCCCATCTGTGACACTATGGTGGATTATAACGTAACTCGAGAATTTTGTGTCCCTCCCTGTACCCCCACAGCTGCTTTGTGGATGGTATTGCAAAGGTGGATGAAACCACTTCAAGATAACAGTGTGAATAGTTTCAGAGATGTGTCAGCCTGTCCTTCCTTTTTTCACACTGTGTGTGAAAAATCTGTACGTCTTGTAAGTCTGTCTCTAACAGCTCAAATAAGAAGCATGTATCCAGCATCAACACCTTCCACCAACGTTAGATGATCAGACAGTCACAATGTGGGAAGACAGAGCAAGCTTGTCCCTTGTTATCACGAGTAACGCTTGTCATGCTTTTAGTTTTTTCTCATGTGTTCACACATCCCAGTTAGGATAGAAAAACTGCGTGAACCAGCAGGACGAGATGGAAAAAAGAAACGAGAAGATAGAAAGAACTAAGAAGAAAGATATTACACCATAATCTGAAAGTTGAATGAGAAATCCATATCCGACTTTAACTATTAGATATGTCTTGATCTGTTAATTCTGGCCATCTTTTAAGGAGCTTATTAATGTGCCATCAGGCTGGAGCTGTAGCCACTTCTCCACTCACTGCTCAACAGACTGACTTGGCCATTCACAGCAGTAGCTTCTGCCAGGGTGATATACTCCACACAGCCTTGTCAATACAGTTTCAAGCTTTTGATCGCCTAATTACTCCCCTCGGTGGCTGGGGACCCATTCGGGGGGGTAGGTCTGGGTTGAACACTGGGAAATGCGCTGATGAATACGTTCTGTGGAATTACATGTTTTTCACTGTGGCCAAAGTGAATCTGGTCTGTTTTGATGATGTGTTTTATGTCACTGTCGATCTTTAGCTTAAAACTTAAATCAAAACAGTGTAATGTATGCAGCAATCAGTCACAACATCAAGACCATCACTTTCAAACCACCATGGAGCTTCCATGGATCGAGCAGTATTTCTTTGCATGCTTGTTCAGTTTTGGTGGATTTTGAGCCTCAAAGCTGGCGTCTTGGTTGTGCTCTTTCAGCAGTTTCATAAGCCATTTTCATGGTGTGTTGGGATGCAGTGCGTGTGTGTAAAGTGTAACAGTGGTTCTCACATGTCAAATTAGTGTCCACATGAATGCTGCCAGACCCCTGCAATTCCCGGCAGACATCTGCACTGTAACGAGGTGATCAATAGCATTCACTTTATCACTTTTATTGTTGTGGCTGATTGAATAGAGAAGCAGAGGTACGTCAGGGGAATACACTGGTGGATTTTTGGATTTTCATTATGTATATATATACATAAATATACGGTATATATATATGTGTTACTATAGGAATTACACAATTACATTCCTTCATCATGGCACTGCTATTTGGTTCACTTCCTCTTTTAAACTAACTCTTAGCTTCACCTGAAAATAGTCACCATCTTCAAAAACTCAATCAGTCAATCACCTGGTAACATCTGTTGAAAACCGCATTACCTGATGTTAAAATGGCAAAAAATCTTCCTTATGGCTTAAAAATAAGCTAGGCTAAAAATAGAAACATGACAGGTAGGATTGGCGGATTGACTAAATTAAACTGGGAATTTTCAACTTCAGCGTTAGTGCGCTTCTTTTTGGGGGAAATGTCTTGGCAATGCCGGAGATCAAAACATTAGTTTTTGGAATACAAATCATTTCTTTGAACACATTCTGTTGCATGAACAGGAAAATTTACTTGAAAGGATATTTACCAATCAGCCACTTACTAATTAAAATCAAACCCCTTGAACATAATGAAGTCAAATAGTCTCCACAGACCATCACAATACATCTGCACCACATGAATTTAATAAAATCAGGAATATTGTCAGACTTTCTAGTGCCTTAATGATGGAGCAGTGATTTTGATAAATGTGTTAATTCACTCAGGCCTTTAACCGCTATTTAACATTGGCTTTGTTGCTTTAGTCAGATTCATTTATCACAGCTTTTAACATGAAAACCATAGGTTTTGTTTTTAGGGTTTATTAAGCTTGATAACCAAAATATAGCACGTTTGGCCTGTTATATTACTCAGACTCCAGATGTGTTTCTCTGGTTCATAGTAATATACGTGAATTTTATTTCAATATAATGCTGACGATTGATTCCCACAATCAAATGCTGAAGTCACTTTATTATTACTGTCTTTGATTAATATATCCTGCAAGTCAGTGACTCAGTGTTCATGAAACCTGCTGCCCATTCATTTCCAAATTTAATCTTCATTGAATGACTCACCATTTACTGGACATGAGGGAATTTCATACAGCAATCGACATGACAGTGGTTTTAAAAGGACTTTACAGTCGCCACAAAGAGCAAGGCCATCTTGAGACATAGCTGATGGAACATTGTGAATGAAAACATTCCAGCTTTCCCATCACCCTGTTTGTTTAATATCTTTTATGGGTCGACTTCCAGACCGAAGAGCTTATGAATGTAGAAATTTAGCTGCAAGTTCTCTGATCCTGGAAGCTTCTCTTTTCCTGCTCTCTAAAAACATCAGCTACTTTTTCATCTTTGCCTCGGTTTCCTAATATATAGATGCACTTAAAACTATTATTCCTGAGAACTTAAAAAAACACGCTAGACCTGAAGACTAGTTGTTGTTGAACTAACCTAGGAACCATCATGGCTTCAAATCCAAGCACTTATGCTAGAACTAGGACACAATCCCTAATTGGTTTCCTACCTGCTCATAGAAGACAGTAAAAAAGACAGTAAAATAAATTGCAAATCCACCAGTCTACCCTCTACTAATCCCTCTGAGAAATGCAAGTATTGTTGTTTTTGTTTTTGTTTTGCTAACATTTCTTCTGCTGAATTAATTTTTCCTGTGATGCAGATTTGTTGACACCTTTGTGCTGCAGATAACAAATGATAACATTGTTTTCACACGTTATGCATTTTCTCTGAATGACAAGCTGCCTGGATTTGATGCCTCTGTCACTCTATCTCTGTTTACTTGTGTCTTTGTGTCCAGAATGCTGACAAGACAGCATAGGCCAACCTTTTCCAATCGCTATAATAGTATTCAAACAAACAAAAACACGACATCTTTATCCCTAATCCTTCTATTTGTCTTCAGTTTGTTTTGAAATTTGCCCTGAGAGTTTTTTAATAATGCCTTATTTGGTTTGTATATGTTCTCCAAACCTAACAGAACCACACAGTCATATTAATTGACAGCTTTAAACCATCAGCTGAAATGCATTATGAGGTGAGAGACAAGACAAAGGCTAAAATAAATGAAAAAAAACACAAAAAATTCAATATAGCTAGTGTGAGACTAAAAGGGGAGGGAGGGTCACAAAATGAAAGAAACTTGAGTGTCTGAACAGTTGCTCCACCAAACAGACAAGAACATTTGTTTACTTTTGTGTTATTTTCTTTGGTATTTTTTCATATTTCTATACTAGTGCTAAATGGATTATTAAAATGATGAATATTATGATTAAACTGTTATTATTCCTATTGAAGAGCTCAAATCTCTATAGCGTGCTTGTGGGTGAAGGCTTGGGGATGGGAAGTGTTGGGATGAAAGTGTTATGATGTTCTTCAGAAAGATTGCCCTGTTGTTCAAACTTATAGACACACAGTTCTTTTGGAATAAAAAAACATTCAAACAGTCCTTTGGTGATGTATCTGCTTTGCCCCATGTAGCTAATGTCTTTTACCAGCTGAGTACAACACTGTATGTGGATTTACAAAGATTGTCATAATAATATGTTGCCATAATTCTACGGAGTATTCAGCAGAGAGTTTATTTGATGACATAAAATCATCATCGGTGACAGACATGCTAATGTAAAAATGAATATTAGTGATCGATCAACATAACATATAACCTTATTAGCTGGTTGAAGCTGAGCTAGACCTTAGATTTGTCACATGAATACTGTTTCAGTTTAAACAATTAACTAATGGTCTACACTTTTTCCCCCCTAACCCAGCAGTGCTTGTATGGATGATAGACTCGAGCGGGATCCAAAGCAGAACACGAGAGGCAAGTCAGATTTAATTAATACTGATGTGACATCAAAGCCCAGCAACAACAGAAAAGGCAAATATAAAGGAGGACAAACTGAAGCTCAACTACAAGCCAAAATGGACAAGATAAAAACAACTGGTATTAAGATCACACAAGGAAGGTGAACAGAGGTTTGGTAAACAGGGGGACTAAATAAACCAACCAAGCAGATAATGAGACACAAATCAATCATATATTGTACACACACATCAAAATACTGAGCTCTAATTAGGTAACTTTAATCATTTATAGTGCTGCAGCAATGTTCCCTCTGAGACAATGACACACCTCGATAACCATAGGGCAACTAAGGTAATTAAGAGAAAGTTGAAATTTCATAAAAGAACAAATGGAAAAACAAAAAATCTAAATACAAAGTAGGAGCTTTACCAAAGCAAACAAACATTAGAAAACTAAGGCTAAAGGCCAAAGAACAGGACGAAAACCTACCTGAAATGAGAT